TCAATGCCCAAAAAATCATCTTGCATAAGGAAAGAAGATTTGTCTAATAGAGTCAAGGGTTGCTTCTCCTTGCTCAGTCTTTCCTCTATTTTTTTTACATTATATAAAATTAAATTCTCTGAATAAGAGTCTACATTCAAGTAAGAAGGCACCCTTTTTCATTTTCGCCGTTTGGTGATGTCCTCTCGTTCCGCGACATATAGATGCAGAAAATGCTCGATCACAGCACACGCACGGGCGGGCTTGGAAAAACCTTTTCACGTGTGAAGGAAGGGAAATTTTTGAAAGGTCAAAAGTCGAAAATCAGAGAAAATAGAAGAAACAAGTTATCACTTTGAATATTGGAGGGAAATTTTGTGGAAAGCCGGCGAGCGGGTGCTTCAAAATATGGAGGCTTGGAAGATTCTACATCCCTGGCCCGATTCATGGACGCCTCCAGCTTTCACAAGCTCGCGACGCGACAACGCATGAGACGCGCCTTCATTTCTTCGGTAGGCACAAAGCGCAACATCACTCATTCCCAATGCCCGATCTAATTTTAGTTCAGTCTCAGGTCGAGTATCAGTGAGGAGTATTATTCTGCGAGAAGAAAAGAGTAGAAATCAATCCCACTGATACTTGAAAATATTTGAATTGCTCAAATCTGCACATTGTTGGATTAATTGTCATCAAAACACGTATCCTTGACTAGTTGCGGAACAATTATGTAGGTATTCCTGACTTCAAATCTAACTCGCACGTGTATGCATAGTTACATTAATGTTCTGCGATAAGGAGTCAAATTTATCTTCCGCTTTGAATAGAATATTTAGCGTGCATATGCGCATGGATAAAATTATTTGAGTTCTTGTGTTCCTCTCGGTACACATTGAAGTATAACACAAAGTAACCCAAATTTTCCGTTGATTTTGCCATGCGTGGGCGCAGGCAGGGTGCAGAACGCTTCAACCTTTCTTCATATTCATTCAACCTCATGACAAAAAAAAAAAACTCCCTTTAACCCAAAAAATCGGGCTTTATCACCGCTAATATGCCGTGAGAATCCCCCATTTTGTCTCATTTTTATGAGAGTTCCCCCGTGTTTCCCTTTCCATTATTAAAAAGGAAAACTTATTCATTCCCCCATAAAGTCTGATATTCCTGCTGAACCACCAACGCTCAACATACTGACCAGGTAAGTTTTTGTTGACTATCTCGCAATCAATTTCTGTCCCCTGATTACTGCGACGCACAGTGGGACAAGACTGTTGGAGAAGTCAGATAAAATTTGGAAACTTAGAAAGCTTTTATCCTCGAAAATATGAAATGGAGAAATTTTGACGTATTTCTATCAAACGGAACTAAGCGCCAATTTGAGTTCCTTTTGAGGAATTTAGAATACCGGATAGCGCGTTCTGTCAAAACGGAACTAGGCGCCATGGAAAAGCATTGCGAGTACAGGACGGAATGAGCCCGACGCCCGGTTTCGCCGCCAATCCAAGCCCCCCTCTACCTTCCTCCCCCTATGGCGCTTAGTTCCGTTTGACAGAAATACGTCCATTTAAGAGTGGTCTCATTGGATTTTCCATTAAAGTTCCTTTTGAAATCACGTGTTGAAATTAAAATCGTGACGAAATCAATATCAAAATTTGAAATTTTAATCAGGAACCTCATGTGCGACGTTGCCACTTACATGATTAAAAAATAGGCCGGGGTGGAAGCGGGTGATCCCCGGTTCCCATATTTTACGCGGGCGGCATCTGTTTCGCGCGGTCGGAAAGTTTCGGCACCCCCCTGGTAAAAATTGGCGATAGGAGCTGCGTTTTAAAATACCATAGGAGTTCTTATAGCCGACTGAAGGAGGCGATAGAAAAGCATAAAGCTGGCTGTAGAAAGTGGACAAAATCATACGGCCGGGCTACATTAAGCGATAAAAAATGAAGCAGCCGGGCTATAGTTCCTGTCGCCGGGCTTTACACTTTATCGCCTGGCTGTTGTTTTTCCGCCATCGGCTATAAAAGGCTATAAGAAATCGTGTAGAAATTCGTGTGCTTTGTAAATCCTTGAGTTTGTGCGGAATCGCCATAATATTTACAAAACGCACATTATATTTTCCTTCACTACATATTTGTTTTCATCAATTAAAATGAGAATAATCCATACAGAGTGTGCAAACATCTAAAGTCATGAGCTGAACACCGCTGACTCCACGAGATTAAATCTTAGAGCCTAACACAAAACGGAGCGGCGGCGCACTGGCGCCTACAAACCTAACAGGGATACTTCACGCATTGCGCAATGCGTGAAGTATCCCTGTTAGGTTAGGAGGCGCCAATGCGCGTTTCGCGCTGGCTGCCCGCCCGCCGCGCCGCAGCGTACCACGGCGCTTGAAGCAACTATTTCACACCAGAGGTATTGCACAGTATCGCACGAAATTGAAGGCGCTCCAACATATTAGGAATGACAGGCATCCTTCAAAAGTACGGAGCTTTCCTCGCGAAATAAATCAAGATACTACGGCCCAAAAAGAGAGCGGTAGTCCAAAAACTCACTAAGTCCTGGCATCCGTAACGTTTAGCATACACTTCATCTCCTGGCTGTTGCTTAATCGCCATGGGCTATAAAAGGCTATAAGAAATTGTGTTGCCGGCTATAGAAGCTATTGGAAATCTTATAGTCGGCTGTAGGTCTACGGAATTTTGGAACACAGACTCTACTGCCAATTTTTACCAGGGCCCTAATATTCAGCAGAGAAAACAATGGTCAACCCGATGAAATCCTAGAAATCAACCGAGAGCTTGAGCCTTTTAGCGTTTCTTTTCTCATATCGGCTGAACTCGGTATGTTTTGTTTCTCTGAGTGTGGGCGACGACGAGAAGCGTTAATTAGACGTAGAGTACCTATATTGAAAGAGTATGGCCACTGGGGTTACCACCTCTGATTGGCTTAGCCATCTTAGGCTGAATGGAGCCCTTAGGACCCAAAAATGGCGGACGCCATAAATTAATGTAATGCAAAATGACTTAAAATGTAGTTTTCTTTGCTTATCGTAACGAGAAATTTACTCAAATGCACTACTGCGACATCTTTACATATTTTTAAGGCTAATCGTGTGCAATATTTGAGAAAAATTATCTTAGATGTAGTAAGGTTGGCAGCAAGTGCGGTTGGTGATAACCGTCAAGAGTTGGCAATGACACCCCTCCCATCTTAAAAAACCAAAACAAAGTACCGCCATTTTTGGGTCCTAAGCCTCTCCATGGGGCCCAGTGGCTATACTCTCTCAATATAGGTACTCTAATTAGACGGCGCTACTTGTCGCTCGGCGGAAAGAGAGACCCGAATCCGGGGCGCTTCGGCGGGGTAGCCGTGGCGCACGACGGGCACGACGCAACGGGGGACGTCTGCCGTTCGCGGTGATTTAATACGTCTCTTCACTTTAATATCCAAACACACCGATGGCGGCGGCGGCGGCGGCGGCGGCCGATGCCTTAATGGCAGCGACGTCGTCGAGGTGCGGCTCACAACTAAGATCACCGATGAATAATTCAACCCTCGACGGTGCGCTCCCGACTACGCTGCCCCACCAAGGAAGAACGCCTTATCAACCTTCAGGTGTTGCCAAATTGCCTTTGATAAAACACGAATTTTCCGGTAGACTTATGAATATTTTCCCTTCCAATTTTTCAGAGACTTTTACTCGCAATTCCACAGGAAAGTCCTGAAAATTTCAAGGGGATATATACATAATATTCCTAAAAAAATGAACATTTTATCGAAGGAAATTTGGCAACTCTCGAATGTTCATACGGCGTTCTTCCTTAGCACGGCAGTATGGCTCCAGCTCCGGCATCGATGGATCCTGTAAATTTAGCCACTGATGAACGCTGCCACCGCCGCAGGCGGCAAAATCCGAAAACGGGGTCTCGTCGACGAGACGTCACGCACCGCGTGAGCCAAACGCCCCGTTGCCGTCCTCTGTGACTCATTTTCACGTGTACTCTAGACGTGACGTCACCATGCTGCGGCGTTAAAAGAAAACGTCGTATGAAACTTCAGACGTTGCCAAACTTCCCTCGACCAATCACGAATTGTTGGGGGGAAAATGTAGTATTCGGCTTTCAATTTTTCAGAGATTTTTGTTCGTGATTTGATCTAAATTGTCCGAAAATTTTAGTTAAAAAGATTAATGATTTTTCTCAAAAATAAGGAGTCGAAATCTGGCAACATTCGAATGTTCATACAGCGTTTTGCCTTGGCAGGTCAGTATGGGATTCCGCCGTCAAAAATAGTGTTTATTTTATGATTAAACGATGACAATAAAGCAAGGCTCTCAACCTCACACTGTTCTTTGATACCCTGGAGAAAATATTACCTCGCAGCATATTTTGGACCTCGCGGTTAGGAAACTCCTCGCAGATAGGTGATGATGACCTTGCGAAGACCTCGCAGTGAGGGAGTCGGTTAGGCATGGACCTCGCCGCGAGGTACTGACAGCTCACGGCGAGGACCTCGCCTCGCGGATAGGTAAGGAGACCTCGCCGATAGGTGAGAGGACCTCGCGGATAGGTGAGAGGACCTCGCAGTTAGGTTGGCCCCTATCCACTGGGTGAGGGTCCTCACAGTAAGTATATTAGCCAGCAGGTAACCTGAACACAGAGGTAAACCCAGGTTCAGAGCCTCATTAAAAATTAAGGATTAATTTCAGCATCTGATATATACTGATAAAAATGTTAAAAAAGCTTTTGAATTTGAAAGAAAAATTGTGTTTAATTCAAAAGCACATTCCTTGGCTCAAAACAATTTGGGTTAGTGAACTGGAATTGTTCTGTAAACCAAAAAAGTGCCTTAAAATTAAACACAATTTTTATTCATTTTTTTTTTATTTTTTATTTTTTTTTAGAAAAAAAAAAACAAAAAAACCTACCAATCAAAACTTTTTTAACCTTTTTTACCCCGAGAATCCTCTCACAAATTTTCTTATCTATTTCAGCATGCCAAAAAATAAGAATAATCTGTACCTTCTTTGCACATGGTCTTCCAAAATATTCCACACTATGAGGCATTCTTCACTCCGTGCAAGAATAGACAAATTCCAATAATTCAAGGATCGGGTGGTGATTTTTAGAAAAATTGCATCGTCACTGGCCTAAAAATAAAAAAAATAATCATCATTCATCAGGGTCACACTCAAAATGAACTGTAAAAATTTCTGAATTTTGATAGTTATAACTAAATATTTCAAGTTAAACTGACCGATTCTTTTCATAAATTTTAAGCGAGAGCTTTTCCTTCAGCATATCAATCACACATAATGTAGAATCACACTGTCCATACTGTTTCATCCTGTCACACAAAATGCGCTGTTCCTTCTTCAAGCAGGAAAATACTCATTGGAGGGAGGAGTTTTCTTCAAATTCACAATGTCTAATTACTCTAGAACTGTACTCTTTGCATTAACTTTACAGTGAAGGTAAGTAAGTGGGCATTTTAAAAGCCCAAATTTAGAATGTCAGCCCTTGCAGTTAGGTCAGTAACTAAACACATTTTCCTTACTGCTTCTTGATTATGTTTTTATGATGCAGAACTTTTCAAAGTACTATCCATGAAAATTCAGAGGACAACCACTTAGTGACCACATACTTTTCCATTTTTTTACATTTTTAATTTATGTTCTTATTTAAATTAAGTGGATCAAGTTAAAACATAAATTACAACTGGAAACCAAGAGGTATGTAAAAAAAATTAAAAATGTTAATCACCTTACTTACTCTGTTCCTTTCTTTTCATGTTGATTCCTATTTTTGTCATGCAACCTTGGCAGGGAACAGCAGGAAGGGGTCGCATATTTGGCCTGATCATCGCTAGAGCTTCGGAGGTTCCTAACAAATCCTTCAACTTCTGCAGTTCAGTGTCTGGAATCAACATATCAAAGTAAACAAGTGATCCTCTAGATAAATGAAAAGTATTTCCTATTTTTTCCATATTTTAAGACACATGTCAATTGCATATTCAGTCAAGTGAGTGTGAGGAAAAACAGCTGAAAATCTTCATCCCCCGGACTGAAAAGACGCAGCCACTTACTTTCTACGAGCAGGTCTATGCTGAGAGAAATTTCACGGTGCCTCACACAAATTGTGCAGTTAAATCTAGTTTTGCCATGAAATTTATCCTCACAAGCAGAGGCTATTTGCAGTAGGTAATTATTCCGAAACTATACAGAGACAACACAACATCTCAACACAACAACATCTTCGCTATCTGCTCAACATGGCTATCATTGCCCTGATACTTAATCAGAGACTGTAGAAGCATACTCAATTAAAATTCATAACTGCACACAATCCCTCCGAGAGAAAGGAGATTGTAGGTAGAAACAGCAGAGTGAGGGTGAGCTATCCTCAATTCTCCTGGAGAAAAATCCTCCCTACTTATTTTGAAATTGTCATGCCTCAAGGAGAAAAATTCTATTACTTACAGTGCACACTTGTTGTTAGTCCGAAAATGATTCCTCCTCCATCTCTTCACACATTCCAAAAGGACACAGAATAAATTCAAATTCCAAAGTAGATTTCCACAGGTTTTCATCTAATAATCACTGATAAACTAAGTTAGAGGAGAATAAGTAGGTAATGCTGCTGCATAACTACTTGCTTACAGTACTACATGCTTCGCCTTATCACACATTTGAAATGAACACAGATTCTATTCCAAGGACTGAAGCGAAAAAATAAAATGACTTGCAGAACTTAGTCGTAAAGTGATTCCTGCATGGTTTTTAACACATTTCAAAAGAATACAGCTTAATTTTCCAACGTATATTTTTGCATGTTTTCACTCTGATATCACTGACATATCTTAGTTTTTCGAAGTACTAAGCTTCACTGTTGATTGTAAACAAACAAACTGCAGACCGCGTCAGGTGAGGCAACGCCGCGCCGCGCCGCGGCAAGGGACTGTGGCAACTGTGGCACTGCTCTCGTCTCAGCTGATCAAATGCATTGATGCCGATTTTCACTCGCTTAATATGGATTTGAGTCCTAAATGCAGTTTGCAGTTACACTGGGTAACGGCAAACGCTCATCATTAAACACACCTATCTGCATTGGGCAACTAATACTCAGTTGCTCTTATTCAAGTAAATTGATGCGCAAGTTTATTTGAATATAGTGCCAGAATTTCAATGCGATTCAAAAACGAAGTGCAAGGTTTTTTTTTTTTTTTTTTTTTTTTTTTTTTTTAATTGTTTTTAAATTTATTGGAATCACTCCCCAATTAAAATATGAGAGAAACGCGAGAAATTTTGGAGTCTTTATGACATCGATCCGAAAATCGATGCATCACATAAGACCCGAAGAAATGCGTTGGCTCGTCATGAGGGTTTTTTCCAGGGCAGCCCCAGCCCGCAACGGGGCAAACAAATCTCCCAGGCTCCAGGTCCGTCTGGCGCTAATGTGCCTCTTTCTACGTAACTGCTGTACCTATTTGGACATCCCTCCATCACATAACTCCTCATGGAAGGATTCAAGGTGTGAATAATTTTTCCCGGGTTTTCAGAATATCAATCACATAACTTTCCGGTGCTCATAACAAAGCGCTACAAAAAAAAAAGAAAAGTAAAGTAAAGAAACTATTTTCTCTGCGGGAACTTCACTGACCCACTGACCAACCGGTCACTATGGAATTAGAGTGACCGACTGACCGCCTTACCGGCCGATAGTGCCCTCTGACGATTTTTGTTGATTTTTCCCCCTCCCATGAAGTGGTGGCCCGGCCCAAAGTGGCATGAAACGTAAGAAAGAAATGAAAGATTGGAAATTTCACGAGGCTGTGGAATAACTCAAGTTTTTCAGGGGCTAGAGTATGCAACCCGCACTCAAACAAACAAAAATAGAAGAAATTTACAATTTCTACATTTTACTAAACAAGGAAAGGAACCGGCATTTTTCAATATCTTTCGTAAATTTCTGGATTTTTATGAAATATTTCACGGGAATGAAATTTCAAGATTTTATTTTCCATGTATACCATTATTCGTACTTTATGGATGTGTTTGAAATATCATCAAAATTGAAGGCGAAATGAGACACTTGGTCTTGACTATGACTTAATGCTGCGCTTAAAGACTGCTTTTTCCTGTCAAAACGAGGCGACTGTTCAGGCAAACATTATCTTAGTTTTTCTCGATTTCACGACCCTATCGCACCGAGATACTTCCGTAAAAAATACCAAATGGATGTGAAAAATCAAGAGCTGACAACAGAACAAGGCTCTCGACACCACTATTCGTGCCTGATGGATATGCTTGAAGTATCATCAAAATTGAAGGCGAAATGAGACATCTAGTCTTGACTCTGACTTCGTGCTAACCTCTTCTTATCACAACGAAACATCTACATCTGGGCAAACTTTACCTTAGTTTTTTACAATATCTTGACACAACTGAACCAACACACTATCTTGAAAAATACCGTGGAGAGGGGGAGATCCAGAGGTGAAAACAGAGCATGGCTTTCGAACCAAAAACACGAGTACGGAACGCCTGGAAGCTGAAATTGAAGCCGTGCAACTCGTTTTGGCTGAAGGTATCACGGCAAAATCGGAAGCACTTTAATGTGAAAAGAAGCGGAAAAGATTGTGAGATTCTCACTTATTTTGGCTCTAAAAGCTGGTGACTATTGAATTCTTGTGTTTCATTGTGATTTCTACAATCTTCATGTGACTGAAAATATTTTTTACGTTAAAAATATGTAAGTAAAATATCAAACAAATGTTTTCACGCTGTTAATCGTCTGTTATCAACAGATAAAAACACATTTCTCGCTACCCCGAGAAAATTGTTTTCATCCTGGTTCATTCGATGAAATTTAAATCGTCAGTTGAAAAATATCGAAAAACTCGAACACTATATTTCGACACTTTATCTCGACCATTTCAAATCAAATTTCCGTAGGCCACGCATAGATTCCCGCGGTCACTCACACACTCACACAAGCACACATCGCCGGGTTGACTCCATTTGTCCCCGTTGCTTTTAAATACGAAGGCTCCGTCTAAGTATTTGTCTTTGCCTCGAGCGAACACGGCCCTTGGATACCACTATTCGTCCTCCATGGATGTGCGTGAAGTATCATCAAAATTGAAGGCGAAATGAGACACTTGGTTTTGACTCGGACTTGGTGCTGCGCTTGAGATCGGTTTCTATCGAGGTATCTGAACGAATGTCCCCGATTTAGGCAGCATTTATCTTAGTTTTCCTCAATTTCACGACACTATCGAGCCGAGACACTTTCGCAAGAAAAAATACTGTTCAGATGTGAAAAATTAAAATATGACAACAAAACAAGGCTCTCAAACTCACAATGCTCTCTGATACAACTATTCCAGCTTTATGGATGTGCTTGAAGTATCATCAAAATTGAAGGCGAAATGTGACATCTGGCCTTGACTCCGACTTTGCAGCACGTTTGGAGACGATCTCTCTTTACCAAAACGAAACATTTATCCCTAAAATTCGAGCATATCTACGGCAAAACTGCAAGACCGCGCAATTCACTTTGAGACGTTGCAGTTTTTCCTGTTTCATTTTGATTTTCCAAAATATGACTAACAATGTCAGACACTTGGTCCAGTTATTTCGTGTTTTTATGCCATTTTAGGAGCAGAACTTTTTTTCTCGCCGGATTTCTCATAGATTGAGGGTCGAGCTATGAAACTGATCCAATTCCAACCCTTATCAATATACCCTTTTTCGGCACATCAAGCCGGCGACTTGTATAGAGTTTTGTTCAAAATCTCGGTCGCAGCTGCCACGTCTTTCGAAGTGAGAGTACAGCTCTGCCATGCTAAAGAGGAACGCCGTATGAACATCCGAGAGTTGCCAAATTTCCTTCGATAAAATGTTTATTTTGCAGGAAAATGATGAATATAATTCCTCGAAATTTTCAGACACTTTAGATCAAATTACAAAAAAAAATACATCTGCAAAATTTGCAGACAAATTTTCAAAAATTGTCCTGGAAATCAGTGATTTGCCAGAGGAAATTTGGCGACTCCTGAAGGCTCATACGGCGTTCCTCCTTAGCACCTTAGCTCAGAGCTGGAATGTTCTTCCCTCTGTAACCGCTCTGTTACTCTACGTGCTGCTCTAAGTCTCCCGTACTTTCATCGAAAATTTCTTGGAACTTCATCCTTTATTCGCAAGACTCACCACAAGAGCTCTACGGCGCGGCCTTAATATTAGGTGTTTGCGGGACGCGGGAGTTGACTAAAGTTTAATTACTCCGGTTAATAGGTAATAATTTTTCAATTACCCTCGCTTTGATCTGCGAGCTGGTAACTCCTCATTAACGGGGAGCGGAGGCTTGGAGCCCCCGGGCCTCGTCGGGTGGAGGATTGTTAATTCCTTATTAGGGGTAGTTTAGCGGGGATGGTGGCGGCATCGATCCGAAATTAGAAAATGAAATGGAAGAAGGATATGCGGAGACGATAAATAAAGATAAAAAGGGCTCGGAGAACGCCGAGGAGCATTTTTGAATGGCCTCTGGGTGTCTTACATTATTGTTGGCGAACAATATGCCTCGTAATTAACAATTAACTTGTCAGTTGTTTCATATACTTTGGCAAGCTCCGAGTCGGGGCGAGTGGGGTACGGGGTTGGTACTCGCGGACTCAGGGGAGTTCTCCCGTTCTAAGGAAAAACGCCGTATGAACCTTCAGGCGTTGCCAAATTTCCTTCGATAAAACACGAATTTCCTGGTGAACTTACGAATATTTTCCTTCCGACTTTTAAGATAATTTGTTCGCAATTTCATCAAAAGTTCCTGAAATTTTCAAGGAAAAATATTCATATCATCCCTCCAAAATAAACATTTTATCGGAGGAAATTTGGCAACTCTCGAATGGTCATACGGTGTTTTTCCTGAGCACGGCGGAGTTCTCGGGAAGACAATGCTCACGGCTTAAGTCGCCCGGCCTAGAAGCAAGAACCCTGAACCCGGAGCTGGGAGCTTAACTCAATTCATAAAATTGCATTCTCATTACACTCCTTGCTCCAGCCAGCAGCCTTCCGCAACAATATCCATTAAAATCCTGGCGTTTGGTTTCCACCCGTTCCCTGTTCGCTTCTTGCTATTCGTTCCTTGTCGGTCGTGGCCGACCGCTTTTCCCAATCGATACGTTTTCCCAGATTAAGTTTCGTTAAGGCTCTGCTCCTTCGGTCTCTCGCGATTACGCTACCGCCACTGGTGGTGAACCTTGCAATTTGACAACACTGTTTTTCCTCTGTTTAAGTGTATGTCCAATAATCGATTCTAAGGGAGGTGGCCTGCCACCTGCCACACCTTCACGCAGGAAAAAGTTCTGTTCGTATTTAACACCAGAGTTTTTCGGTTACAGAAACCGAAATTAGGTTCAGCTAACCGATTTTCTGTTTACATGACAGAAAAATTCAATGGCGAGGCGTGAATTCTCGATTATCGATATTTCCCCCATTTGAGGCTATTGTAAAGAATCGATTATTAAAAGTATTTGTTGCAAACACCCTGTTTATCGATCATTTTCCGTAGGTTAAAGTGGCAGATCAAT